GTCTAACTGCTATTGCTATTTTTCACACCGTTGCATTATCCACATGATCACGTGATCAAAATATGGACTCTTGGCAACTGACTCATATTTATGACGGTCGCAGTGTCCCGTGGTCACATGATCACCTTTTGCGACCATCTGACAAGCAAAGTCAACGGGAAAGCCAGATTTTGTTACTAGCACAACAACTGCAGTGAATTCACTTAACAGCTATGGCAAGAAAGTCCATAAAATGGGACAAACCCATTTAACAACTGTCTGACTTAGCCACAGAAATTTTGGGGTCAACTCTAATTATGAGTAGAGGGTTACCCGTATGTCTGTGGAGATTCCCGTCGATATCCCTGCTGTCTTACCTGTATGCCTCCTCCCTCAAAAACTTCATTAATTACTTAATTGTGCTCTTGTTTTTCTGCCTCAGATTTAGCCATGGAGGAATCGGAAGAGAAGCGTTTTGAAGAGGATACAGTGTAGAAAAGCTACCTCTCCTGAGAAAGTCAACTCATTTTGGATAACTGCTGACCAAGTCAGAAGAAGAAGGAGAAGCAGCAGAAATCCTTAAGAGTTGGAAGTGCTGAATCTCCTTTTTGGATACAGTGGGAGTCCTTGAGGTCACTTCTCCCCAAAGGGAGGTTAGAGTGTCATCAGGGCAGGAAAAAAAAATCCTTCTCTTATCCCAAGGCATCAGGAAACTTCCAGGACCTGTAAGTCTGTAAAAAAGGGATCGTAGAGTTTCATCTCTTGGAGAGGACCCAAAAGGCATGTAATGCAAATTTAACTGGGCAGGAATTTCATGTGCTTTTCTTCTGTTGTGGTCAGTGAAATGCGATTGAAATGCGGGATTGAAGCCCTTTCTTAACTTTTAACTAGAGTGAGACTTGGGGCCCTTTCAGGATGGATTGTTAATGTGCTATCAAGTCGTGGTCAACCTTTAGTGTGCGCATAGTTATTCTCCATGACAATCTGTCCCTAACTGTAGGAGAAGGAGTGGCAGAACCTGCAGGCGGAGTGTAAAGAGGAATCAGCCTAGAATTCCTACTCAACCCAACTTCTTTTGACTGCCATTGACCATTATCTCACTTCAGTAGGTTGACAATATCCCCGTGCTGTTTAGCAATCAGTTTAATTGGACCTTCACTGTAGATTTCTTGGCCTTTTGTGCCCGATGTTAATCTGCACCAGTATAGACTTTCACAGAGTGCAGAGCATTGAATTGGATCCATGCATTTGATGAAGTAAACAGTAGTCCTGAAAACCGATGCAATAATCCATTTATTAATTTTTAAGGTAGTTTAGGGTGGGGGTATTTTTTGGCTGGATAGACAAGCAATAGTTCTTAACCTAGAATAACAGGCCTGGAAAGGACTTTGGAGGTCTTGGACTAGGAGCAGGAGACCCCATACCATTCCAGTCAAATGGCTGTCCAATCTCTTTTTAAAAGCCTCCAGTGATGGGACACCCACAGCTTCTGAAGAGAAACTGTTAGAAAGTTTCTCCTTTGTTCTAGTTTGGTCCTCTCCTTGATTAGTTTCCCTCCATTATTCCTTGTCCTGCCCTCCAGTGCTTTCGAGAATAGGTTGACCCCCCCCCCCTCTTCCCTATGAATTCTTTGCAGGTACGTTGTGGTTTCTGTTTATTAAGTGCATTGTGTATGTCAATTTCTCATTAAATGTTTCTTGAAACTGAAGTCACTAGGAAGGTTTGAACCCTTAGATGGAAGCTTTCGGAGGCAGGCTAGAGAGGAAGTGTCTGGTCATATTATTCTTTCCCATCTAGTAATATTATTCCTTTCCATAGCAACCTTCTGGCTTGCTCCCCCTGCCCAGTTGCTGCCATGTATTCCCTGGTCTTCCTCTGTGCCCAGAAGGTTGTCTCTCACTACTCAACCTTGCAAGAAGCCCTGGGCTTCCTCCCGAAGGAGCTGTATCCCGTCCTCTTCAAGGCCGCCTTCATGGACAAGAGAACTCCGGTGCTCCAGCAATTGGTGGAAACCTGGCCATTCCCCGTCCTCAGTTTCCAGAAACTCTTGTGCAAGTGTCAGCATTGTGAGCGGGCCCTGATCCGGGAGAAGCCGAACAAGTTGTGTATTCAGGCCATTATTTTGGGGGTGGTGACGTATCTCATGAAGATGCTGGAGAATCGAACTTGCAGCAAGAGGTATGTGCACCCTTCCTTCTACTCCATTGCCTTCCTAAGTGAAGAGCCGGTA